AGTAGTTACTTCTGCAACAATAATAATAACGAAAGCCTAAAAACCAAACATGTTTTTGACCATCGTTAACGAATTTTTTTCTCGAAAGTCGAGAATTTTTTCACAAATATCACGAGGGGTAAGTGAAGACTCATCTATTACTAATTGAGATTTTTTGTGGTGTCATTCAATGAAGTCAGTTCTTTAATATTTTTAAAACCGTAACTGGCTATTTGCGCGTTTCTTAAGGACCGGCCACTTAAGAAGTAGGAGAGTCCGGGATTTTATCAGGCTAATGTCGAATGACATATACACTTAATCTCCCTCAAAGTATAATATCGTCTACAATGTTGCTGACACTGTTGGTCTTAACTTAGACAGTCGACAGCCACTTCTAATTAATTTACATAGTTTAAACAAATAATGGATTGCGTTAACCCCAAATAAGCAGAGCTGTTTAATTCTAAAAAAAAATGTCTGTCACGACATCCATACTATTCTGCTTCGCCAACTATACGAATTTTTGAAATAAATTGCAGCTTAGCATTAGAAACAACTTTGATGAATTGTTAATTGTGCAAAAGATGACCACATCATAAGTGACCCGCGGCAATCAAAACTTGGTGTGAAGCAGAGTGGGAAATACCGCGCTAGGTAAATTACAAATTAAGGACGTATTGCTGGATGCGTGTTAGTTGCAGAGAGCATCGTCATCATCACCATCATCAACATTACAGCCCTTCACAAGTCCACTGCTGAACATAGCAACGTAGCCTCCCCCAAAGAATGCTAAAAACATAGTCCTGAGCCATCTGCATCCACCAACTTCCTGCATGTCTTACCAGAGAGCATAGGTAAGTGTATAAGCTGGATTGTGAATGTGGTCTCTCTTACTTCGCGTAAATATAAGAAATAATTATAAGAAATCATTAAGTGTATTATTGATTTTTCCAAAATGAATATTCTTTGAACTTTCGGGCAGATAGGCCATAGGCGTGGTCGCCCACGTGTTCTTGCGGCCAGCAGTGAAGGATCACGTCTCAGATTCATATCGCCAGTACACACACGGGTCGTACACTTGTTTTCAAATTTTGTGGTATACATGATAAGATGTGTCGTAATCTGCACGCTGCTCAGTCGATAAGTTCCGTCTACAGAGGCGGATTGTCGACAGTGCCCCAGGCTAGCACCTCATCGGCGTCCCTACATTAGAAATTATAACGACATACAATACGAGTACAACTTTCGGAAACCTATCCAACTGCAGAGATTTGTAAGACAGGGTGACGTTATATCACCGAAACTCTTCACCGCTGCATTGGAAGACTTATTCAAGCTAGTGGACTGAAAAGGATACGGTATTATCATCAATGGCGAGTACATCTCTACTCCATTTGCCGACGATATAGTCCTTATGGCAGAATAGCTGGAGGACCTAAGCACTATGCTCAATAACCTCGGTTGTGTCCCCCAATAGATAGGACTTAAAATGAACATGGACAAAATAAAGATCATGTTTAACGTCATATCTATGCCGACTAGGTAAGTACAACTTTAATCGGGAGGTCAATCGACGGATTCAGCTCGGCTGGGCAGCGTTTAGGAAATTACGACACATCCTTTTGTCAGGTATACCTCAAAATCTGAAAACAAGATTGTACAACCAGTACGTTGCTAGTGATGACTTACCGATCTGAGATATGGTCCTTCACTGCTGACATGGCCGTATGAGGAAGCTTAAGATTGCTCAGCGATCTATGGAGAGGGCTATGCTTGGAGTTTCTCTGCGTGATAAATAAATTTAAAAATTAGGATATCCGCAGTAGAATCTGTAACAGACATAGCCCAACGGATTAGTAAGCTGAAGGTAGCAATGGGTCAGCCATATAGCTCGAAGAACCGACAACCGATCGGGAAGAAAGGTTCTCGGGTAGCAGCCTCGTACCGGTAGACGGTGTAGGGCGGCCCACCACTAGATAGAGTGATGACCTGGTAACGCATGCAGGAAGTCAATGGATACAGGTGGCTCAGGTCCGTACTTTATAGTATTCTTTAGGGGAGGTCTATGTTCAGCAGTGGAGTTGCGAAGGGATGTATAATGATGATGAAGTACTTAACTCATTTTTTTCGTTAAAAATCTTCCGCGCGCGCCCCTTTTGTTACCTTGCGCCCCTAGTCACGTGCCTAGTTTGCCTTAAGGATAATCCGCCACTATCCCTCGATTGACCTCTCGGTCGAGTTTAAACATACCTAGTCGTACAATTTGTCCTTTATAAACATAGGTACTAGTCAATTACTAGGTACCGTCAGAGATTTGACATTAATTTGTTTTTCATTTATTATCAATTATTTCAGTCGTCACCTGGTATATAAATCTGATTATAAATTAAATACATTCTGGATCATAATAAAAACGGTCATATTAAACCACTATGGTTAAGCGATTGAGCAGACGTTATTTACACAATGTAACTGACTTAGAAAGTAGATTTTTAATTTAATGTAAAAAAAATCATTAATTTTTGTTCGTTTGAAGTTCTAATTTATTGATTAATCTTGCTGGTATTGACTAGTAGTTCGTTCTCCGTGTGTTGATTGCACCCAGACCAATAGACATAAGAATGCCCTATTTCTTTTGAACCGTCATAATACTTCTTAGAAAAATACAAAAAGAAATAAACTCTAAAAATCTTTTATTACAAAATATTTATTTATAATAAATAAAATATATTATATTTATACTCTATAATCCAAAACCCAAACAATTCGAGTGTCTTATAAATATAAATCACCAATAATATGACCCAAAACCACAACTCACCACTTATTTCTATAATGGATGTTTGTATACTTAAGAGGCGATTTTTCAATCGTCAGGTAAGATGTTATCCGTCAATTAAATTATAACGTTACTGTAAATAAATATAATATATAAAAGTGAAAAACGAAATAAATAAAATCACACAACTTTCATTTGTTTATGTTGTAATTCATTATATGGATTTACTTTATCTTAAGATTGAAAAATCGGCCCTTAGAGTTCCAATTACTTACAACTTACAAAAATATTCGATTTGCCAGTTTCATTTCTCCGTAACTTCCCGCTGCACTTCTACGTAGGTAGCGTAATTCAAGTGGCAAGCGTTACCGTATAGTATTGATGCCACGTACTCTTGTATTTTTCTCAAACATTTCGGAGGATTTGTTCTATTTATTACGTTTAAGATTATTAATGATTATTTAATTGTGCATAATTAAAAAGTATGTCAATCTACAATCACCTCAATATTTATTTTAATTAAGGATTATTAATGATTATTTAATTGTGCATAATCAAAAAGTGTGTCAATCTACAATCACCCCAATATTTATTAATCTTATAACAATAGACTAACGGTGAACGCCGGCAAAGTTGAAATACTATGGCATATTATTATATTATAGTAAAAAATTAAGAATATTATTATATAGCATATCATTAATCACTTAAGTGTTTACGTCGTAACGTATATCACCATTATATACCTACTATGAAACAAGTTTATTTTAAAAAATAGTGTTTAGTGTTTTTATTTCACAAAACGATTTCTATGTCATCATTTAACATTATAATAGGGGTTAAAGTATGAAGTTTACGTTTCAATGGAGTGGCCACTTTGAATGTAAATTTAACCTGCATGGTCCAAGTCAAGATACGTGATTATTTTTTTATACAAAGACTAACATTTTAAATTCAAAAAATATTTATAACATGTTAATGTTTGCATTCTGAATCAGTATTTGATTTAAACATTGACACATTCTCTAAAATTGAGTAATTTTCGTATACGAGGTTTGCCGTGGTTCTAAAGCAATAGTGAAAGCACGCAATATCAACGCTGCCTTTGGAGAGTATACGACAATGAAGACACTATGTATTTTTTATTTAATCGCTTCCGTGGTGGAAACTTCGAATTGAAGAATGAACCACAAGGAAGAGGAGGAAGAGAACCAGATACTAAGGCCGATAACAATGAATTAAGTTATGGTGGAAGCTGATTCGCATAAAACAATCAAGGAATTAGCGTCATGATTTGGCGATAGTTTACCCACATTTGTACCTACCGAATTAGTAAAATAAAAATAAAAATCTCGAGAAATGGGTACCTCGTTAACATATGTGCATAGATAAGCACGCGTTGGAACTTGCCTTGCTTTGATGAGTAGGTACAGAAATGAAGGGATTTTGGACAGCCTGTCGCCTGCGATCAAGAGTATTGTTGAACAATGATGGCGAAACTCAGAGAAACAACCTCGAATCGTCAATTGATCTTCGCATTGTTCATTATTGCTGCATGATAACGCAAGACCATTACTAAGACCTTTAGTTAGAAACTATACGTCGTCCTCCATACTCGCCAAACCTGGCCCAAACCGATTACCATTTTTTCCGCAATTTGGACAATTTTCTGCAAAAAAATCAAAGTCAAAAATGTTCTTCCCTATTGATAATGAGGGTGATACCTACATTAAATAAATATATATTATCAAAGTATTCACCCAATAAAAAGGTGTTCCAATTTCATACTTTAACTAATAATATGATACATATAATCACAAGTTGTAAAGTTAAAAATTTTGTACATCCGACTACAATATAAATAAAATCGATGTAGTCAAAGTCAATTAATTATTCATTATTAAGGATAACTCAAAAAGTACTGGTCAGATCTTGATGAAATTTATATGGGACCACAAGAGAAGCACCAGCTTTCAAATAAAAAAAAGAATCATCAAAATCGGTTTACCTAGAATAAAGTTCTACGGTAACACATAAAAAATAGAGTCCAATTAAGAACCTCCTCCTTTTTTTTTTTTGAAGTCGTTTGGAAAGTTTACAATAGGAATAAAGTCAGCGGATAATATATTCATCTTTATAAAGTTGTTATAATGTTAATAAACAAAATTACTAATGAATATGAGAGAACAGCACAAAAATAAATGAGACTTTCGTCATTACTGAAGTTTAGTTGTTAACAAGATTATTTAACTTTCTTAGATTCCTCACTAAGCATTTTATTTCTCTGTTTCAACATATGTCCAAATAACACTGGGAATAATGGAATGTACAATAGCATATAGAATATTAGAAAATAGTAATAGTTAAAAATGAAATTCCAGGAATTTGGCATAGAGACAGTAAACAGTTTCTTTTCAGCAATTTCATCAAGGGAATGGTACATACAAAGGAGCTCTCCTGTTATTCCAAGTGGGTACAATACCAGAAATGTCGAATATCTGAAAAATAATAAGCACGTTTATTTCTTTATCTACAATTAAATGTTCTTCATAATATATTAAATTATTACTTTTATATACAGGGTTATTTGTCAAAGAGTAGCCAAATTTTAAACTTAAGTTCAAAATTATATTATACCGTTATTGCAGTTTTCGAAAATACCGAGTATACAAGGCTTCTACTTTTATTTAAAACTAGCTATTCCCCGCGACTTCGCTTGTGTGGAATTTTTCTGCGCGTTACCCTAATTGTTTTCCTAAAAAAACGTAGCCTATGTTACTCTTTATAACATCAAATATTTACCCGTGAAAGTTCCATCTAAATCGGTTCACAGGTTTTTACGTGATGCGTGTTCAGACAGACGTCATGTTAGAGTTTTATTATAATAATAGATTATCTAACCAAGTTTAATGCGATTTATGTTATATTTATGTTTGCGTGCGCAGTAAAATCATCTATACAAATAAATAAAATTGTGTCTGTTTGTAATGTCGAAATAACAGCTTTTTACTATATGCATATGAAAGTATATACAATACTTATAACAAAAACACGATTTTTAAAATTTTTGTCTGTCTGTCTGTCTGTTTGATCCGGCTCATCTCCGAAACGGTTGGACCAATTTTGACCGGGCTTTCACTGGCAGATAGCTGCTGTTATAAGAAGTTACTTAGGCTACTAGGATTTTAGAGAAAGAATTAGGGTTCCGCGCAAAAAATTAAAACCCATCAAATCTAATCGTAATAAATTACGCGCGGGCGAAGTCGCGGGGAACAGCTTATTTAAAATAAAAACTTGAAAACGAAACTGTACAACCAGTGCGTGTTGCCAGTGATGACCTATGGAACTAAGACGTGGTCCTTCACTGCTGGCCGTATGAGGAAGCTCAAGGTCGCTCAGCGAGCTATGGAGAGACCTATGCTCGGGGTTTCTCTGCGTGGTAAACTTGGAAATGAGGATATCCGCAGTAAAACATAGCCCAACGGATTAGTAAGCTGAAGTGGCAATGAGCCGGCCATATAGCTCGAAGAACCGACAACCGATGGAGAAAAAGGTTCTCGAGTGGCGGCCTCGTACCGGCGGACGAAGTGTAGGGCGTCCCCCCACTAGATGGAGTCAATGACAAGACATGCAGGAAGTCAATGGATGCAGGTGGCTCAGGACCGGGCTTTGCTGCATTCCTTGGTGGAGGCCTATGTTCAGCAGTGGACTTATGAAGGGCTGTAATGATGATGAATGATGATTACCACGCATTATGAATTTAAAAGATAAAAGGACAAAACGTAAGAGATTTTTTTTAAATTAATTTTTCTTCGCCATTTGCCTATATTACATATTCTAAGCCTTCTTTGCAAATTTGGCCGGTTATTGCAAAATAACCCTGTATTTGTATATAACATAAATAGTAAATGTATTTCATACCTTAAAAATAGTAGAGATTGGGGCACTACATTTATTAAATTAAGTGCATAGTAAGCATATCGAATAATTTCAGTGATAGACCAAGCAAGTATGCAGAGGGGTAGACCAGGGCTAATCGTAGCACCATTCGTCGCCAATAAAGCCCCGCAAACTAAGAACACGCGGGAATACACTTGCATAAGAACTACGAACACACTAGATGGAACTAATTTTAAAGCTGCATGTAATACCTGTAAAAAAAAAAGAGTTAAATTAATGGCAATTTGTTACAAGTAAATAAAAATATTATCAAATAACATGGCAACAGCAGATACCAATGCAACTAATCGAAGTTAAGGAATTATTTTATGTAGTTAAGGGTGATAAACAAGAAAAAAGTCCATCTATATACATTGGTCAAGATCTTATAATATTCCAGTAACTTTACTCAATGAATCGAGGTAGTTTCCACCTAATACTAACTATTACATAATGCCCAGTTGCTGATATAAATGGCCAAGTAAACAGCAAATTAGTCTCATATAAAAATATTTTTTGAATTTGTTTTATAAATATGTTATGAGTCACTCTACTATATATCATGGCTGCAGCATAAATAGGTGCAGATAGGAAATGAACATACTCTCACAGAATACCAGAGACAATAAATTAATATTGTTATGGTATGTTGCATCTTTTTGCGTATTTTATCGCATTTACCACGGGGAGTGCTCTGAGGAATTGTTTGGACTAATTCCAGCCGCTCAATTTCACCATCGTGTAGAGAATTATAACAAAATCAATGGTAATGAATTTCCATATTAGTCCTCAGGGTACATCAGTTCACATTTATTTATTTTTTATATTGTAGAAAGATATCAGTTCCTAAAAGTCTAATTATGCACGTGAGTACTTTACTTTAATCAATCGGCAGAGTGCACATTCTGCTCAGGTTAGCATTTATAGAAAAATTTGTTATATTCTCACTAAACCACATAAATTTGTTCTAAAAAAATCCTAGCGTAATATATTAACTAGACTTGAAACGAATAGTATATCCGGCCACACGCCGAATACCGAATATTCTGCGAACTCCCTGGCCGAATAGCCGAATATTAGGCAAATTTATTCGGCCGGGAAGGAAGTAGTGTTTTTACTTCAGAGCTGAATCAAGCTCTGAAACTGAATTTTGATTGCCTGCGAGAAGAAATGGAGTAAACAGCCTGAAAATTAAGAAATATTAGTCTTTCTGGTTCATTATCTTTCACTTAATTACGATAATTCGAGTGCAGACATTGATCTGATAGTTCTTTTTTTAATTTTTATTACAAGAAAAAAATTCATTATAATATAAATAAATATTTTCATTTTACCAATTATCTGACTACAATAAAACTTCTTACTTAGGTATTCGGTATTCGGTTGAATAGTACATTGGTATTCGGTATTCGACCGAATAGGATAAAAGTAGCGAAATAGGCCGAATACCGAATAATAGCTGAATATTTGTTACAAGTCTAATATCTACTTAAAAAATTTAAAATGTAAACCCAAAAATAAAGTACAAGACAAAATGTTAAAGTACAAGCCATTAAAGTGTGCACAGCTATATAATTATTTAACCGTACACTGCACTCTTCACAAAGCTATATTTAAATTTATTATAATTAAGTCACTATTTGAGTATAATATAACTCTATACTTTTACCTTAACAAGTTACTTTTAACTTAACAAGTATTAAGATCAAAGGTCATTGAATCCATTTATGTTTCATAATTACTATGTAGAATAAATATAAGATTATATATATAAATAAGATAAATATAAGAATATAAGATTACTATAAAACTGATCCTCATGGAATAACTTTTATGTAAATAAATAAATGTGTGGCAATTATGATTAGTGTCCGGCCGAAACAGGATTTTCAACCGAAACCGAAAACGAACCTTCGGTCTGGGCTGGGTGTCAGTTTTGGCCGAAATCGAAACCGAAACTTATTCAGACGTTTTTTTTTATTGTATACTGAAATCTGGTATATTTTTTATACATATACAGATAGGTAAAGCATGTTAATGAAAAACAGTTATTGTAATAGTCATGTAGCAATGTATTTATTTATTTTAAAGTAATAATCAACAATTTAACGTTAAGAAATACTTTTTTAAGTCAATTTTGTAGAAAAATCAACACTTACACCCATAAAAAGTTACTCGCTAATTGCGAACATATTTCATTGTGTTCACTATATTGTTAATATTATTCAATGAGAGCATTAACTTAATATATCACACTCACACACTTACACACAATAGACACACAACAAAATCCCAGAAAATATACAAAACCTGCTCAAAGTTCAAAAACTTTATTTAATTTTTTTTATTAACTAAGTTTGTATAAAAAGGGTTATTATAATAATTAATAATTTATGGACGATAATAACCCCTGGAATGAGGTGATCACTACCAAGCTATTTCTAATTTGTTTTGTGTTGTTAATTGTGTTACATACATGATGACGAGGCCCCCTAAAATGCGGTGCCCCCAGACTTTACCACAGATGACTAATTAATTTGATCACTTTTACGCTCGAAAAAGAAAGTCACAAATTTAAGTGTGTTTGTTTGGGGCCTCGCAAGAAGCCCCTCTTATACGACTGCGAGGCCGTTGTAACTACCTTCAAAGACCGCGATTGTTACATTGACGGAATACGAGACTTATCAGGAATTAATAGATATGAGTAGGTACGTATGTCGTGTCAAGGCATGTTTAGTAGTATAGATCTATTGGGTAGATCGTTGGAACGAAATAAAAAGGGGCCTCGCTGATGCAAGATGATGACTAATATAAACGTGGCCTCGTGGACGAAGCCACGTTTATATTAGTCCACGCTACGCCTCTGATTGTAAACTGTTTTTTAAAAAAAAGTCCCTCTGGGTTTCTTGCTGGTTCTTCCAAGGACAGAGGCTTTTTTTCGAACCAGTGGTAATTAAACAAAAGAGTGACTTTCAATAAGTATTATTTACAATCTATATTGAATTAAAAAGTTTCTGTTTTATTATGAATATAATACACGAGTCACGAACTCGTCCGAAAGACGCACGACAATCCACGAACACCGAGTTTCGGCGCCGCCGAAGGTTTGGCAGATTTTTTGCCGAAACTTGCCGAAACCGAAACCGAACCTTTGGTCGGTCACTAATTATGATGGAATAATGCATTTTTGTTAAAGGACTTATATGCAGAATGAAGACTATTAGTTAAATGTGAGCCAAAGGCAACAGTGACACAGTGGAAAAACCATAATGACGTTCAGGATTTTTTTTCATTCTAAACATGCTTTACCAAAGTATGTGTTATTGTTGTCTGGAGGACATGTACGTAGAGAGTTGTGGAGAGAGGGCAAAGGATGTAGCAAAAAGCTAACCTTAAGCGCCACCTGTACCCTGCATGGAGACATATTGTTTTTAAGTCATTAAAGTATATATGTATAAGTTATTACTATTTTTATAAAATCATAACCTCAATTTTAGTGGATAAGAAAAGTATGTGATCTCCGCAAATTACTTTGACCACTGTTATTTGCGTTTCTAAAACTTTTTACAATTACGTTTACTGTACCCAAATTGTGAATTCTGATAATGGACAAATAAAGTATAAAATCGACAAACAAGAAAAACAACTATATGTATATATGTCTCGCGTCCCACACCTCCCCCTCCTCAACTTTCTATGCAGTTGTATGAGACTAAAATACAATCTCATGTTACATATTTTTAATTATTCAATATTAGGACCATAAGCAGATCTTTTTTTTTAAATAAAAAAATACCAACCAGAACCTAAACAAAGAACAGAATATGAAGCATTTACAAAAAACTATATGAAACGGTAGAAAAATCAAACGTAGAATATACCGGAAACAAAGAATACACAAGGCTTGAAGAAAAGTGAATGAAAAGTATAGAGAATAGTATGATTAAGAAAGTCAAAATTAGAAACCCACCAAAACAGGAATGGATTAACAAGGGAATAAGTAAGGATATTACTTATAAAAACATACTCTGGCAACAATACAAATGCCATCCAGAGAACAAACTCGCCGAGAATAACTTTCTAAAACAAAGGAACCTAGTTGCTAACGAAATACAAAGAATGAAAACAACAGTACCACCACAAAAAAATCACAGATTACAAATGCAATCTAGCCAAGATGTGAAAATTAATAAATAACCTCATTATTTAATTAAATTTAGAGAAATATCGATACCACCTAAATTACTAATAGAAGGAACTTTGGTAACCGATATAAAAGAAATCTGCGAATGCTTCAACAACTTCTTTTCATCTATTGGAGCAGAACTAACACAAAATATTCCCCTTCAGTACCATGATAACAGGACCTTTACAAATTCAAAAGTTAACAACAACGATAAAAGGCTAACAGTAATGGCACCAGCTTCAGTTTTCTTTTTCTTTTTAAAAAAACGTTACCCCCACACTAGGATTTTCTCCTGTATCGTGGAAGCAGTTTACAATCATAAATTCCACAAGGACAAATATCCAGACCGGAACAATTATTTGCAAGCCATACAAATACTTGTTCCGTGCGGGATTCAAACCCACGGCCCCCAGCGTAGCAACTCATTGCTAAGCCACTGCGCCACGGAGCCATCAACGAGGTTGACGAGGTAATTAAACTAATAAACAACTTAGATACAAATACTATTTCAGGCATTGATAACGTCAATACCAAGTCCATAAAATACGTAAACACCTTATAGTTCCAGAACTAAGTCGATGTTTAAATAGCTGTCACAACAACAACAAACCAACAAGGTATATTTCTCAGTAGTCTCAAAAATTCCAAAGTTACACCTATTTATAAATCTGGCATCAAAACCGACACGAGCAACTACCGGCCTATATCGGTTCCTCCCGTTGTCTCTAAATTTTTCGAGAAAATTATATACAACCGACTTGAGACTGGAAGGACACGGTAATCCTCGAATCCGGCAACTTGTTCTATCACCGGGAGGGCGACCATCTGTCTCAAGGAGGTGTCGGATTTATCGTCCACAAGTCTCTCGTTAACAACGTTGTAAAGATTGGGAGCATGACGATGAGGGTACCGTACCTTATACTCAGAATCACCAAACGGTATTCACTGAAGGTCATGCAGGTTTACGCACCAACCTCGGCACACCCCGATGAGGAGGTGGAGGAAATGTATGAGGATATCTCTATA